CTATTTAGTTAAAGCTCGATTTAAAGAGAGAATATCCAATTTATCCAATAAGACCAACTATTTGCAAAACATACGAGATATTGTGTTATAGAAATCGGTTGAAATATTGGGCAAAACCAAGTCAGAAAAGGAAATCATTGTTTGATCTTGAGTGCGAAATGGCCACAAATAGAAAGAACGCAGCATATCGAAAAACCATAAACGTAGGTTATAAACGGAGACAAAAGATAAAAATGAAACAAGGAAATGCTACAAATCCTTCAATAATAGCCGTGGAGAATTTAAACCGCGATTATAAATTTGTAAAGACACTAAAATCTGTACTACAATCAAACAGCGGTCATACGGGTGGAAGATAGTGAGACACACCAGGTGGAAATTCAAAGAGGAGTCAGACAGGGATGTGTGCTGTCGTCACAATTATTTAATGTGTACTCCCAACTAATATTTCAGGAGGCACTATGGGAAAGAACTGAAGGTGTAAGGATTGGAGGGAGCATCATTAACAACATAAGATTTGCAGACGATACCGCAATCATGGCAGAGAATATAGACGATTTACAAACTCTCCTGGAAATCATTAACAGAGAAAGCAAAAAGATGGGACTAACAATGAATATAAATAAAACCAAATACATGGTGATCTCAAAAAACCCTGTTGACAACATACAATTCACATTGGAGGGTAAACCCTAGAGAGAGTCGACAAATATAAATACCTCGGAGCAATTATAAACTCACAGTTAGATCAAGAGCAGGAGATAAAGGTCAGAATAGAAATAGCTCGAAAAGGCTTTATAAAATACAAGTCAATGTTTACAAATAAGAAATTGAGTATGGCCATCAGATTGAGATTCGTCGAATGTTATGTTTGATCGCAACTACTATATGGAGTAGAAGCTTGGACTCTGAAAGCCCAATCTATAAAAAAATTGGAGGCATTCGAAATGTGGCTATATAGGCGTATTTTGAAGATTCCTTGGACTGCAAAAGTCTCAAATGAGGAAGTGTTAAGACGAGTTGGACATGGCAGAAAGCTTATGAACACAATTAAAATAAGAAAAACATCGTATCTGGGCCACATACTCCGAAACGATAAATACTCTCTGCTACAAGTCATCATGCAAGGTAGAGTAGAGGGAAGAAAAGGCTTGGGAAGAAAGAAGAAATCTTGGCTGAGGAATATCAGAGATTGGACTAACCTCAGTGTTGAACAGATATTTCACGTTGCAAAAGATCGAGAAGCGTTTAAAGAAAGGATCGCCAACCTTCGTTAGAAGACGGCACAAGAAGAAGAAGAAGAAGAAAGACACTAACGGAGAAATGCTACATGATAAAAACTTAGTTCTTAACAGATGGCCACAACATTTCAGCGAACATCTAAATATAAACGATATTGAAGGGGGTTACAATATAGACAATCAACAAAATCTAAAAAAATCCACAAGGAAAAAAAAATTCCTGTAGCTGGCTGTATACCACGTATCACAAAAAAGAGGTTAGTCTTTGTAAATGGGTATATTTAAAAATCTAAAACGTCAACTACACAGCGAAGACCCAACAAGAGAAGCAGTGTCAAATTCCATCCTAAAACTCAAAACAATAAAGCCCCAGGAATGGATAAAATCTGTTCGAACATGTATAAAAAAGGTGGTGATCAAGAGTGACTAAAGGGAAAATATGTCTGTTGCGTGAAAAGGGTGATCAAATGAAGTGTAAACAACTATAGAGGCATTACTCTGTTAGCATCTGCGTATAAAATCTTCAGCAATGTATTGTTTGAAAGACTTAAACATTTTACAAAGGATATTGTTGGTTAATATCAATGCGGATTTACTACTGGAAAGTCAATTACACATCAAATTCAAGCACGTAGGCATATTCTAGAAAAGTCACTAGAATATAACGTAGATACACACTATCTCTTCGTCGACTTCAAAGCAGCATATGGCAGTATGAAAAGAACGGCATTATATAATGCAATGATAGACTTTGGGATCCCACCTAAGTTAGTCGAGATGACCCAACTAATAATGCAAAACGTAAGCTCATGCGTTAGAATTTAAGGAGAAGAAAACCATGAAGGTGAAGAAAACTCAACGTTCTTTGAGATTCATAACGGTCTAAGACAGGGGGACGCGCTGACGTGTCTCTTTTAGGCAATCAGACAACTAAATATTGGAATAAATGGAACTATTTTTGATAGATCGACGCAAATTCTCGCATTCGCTGACGATATACTTATAGTGGGCAGAATGAGAGACACGGTGCAGTGTTTTATAAGGCTTGCGGACGCAGAAAGTGAATTAGGACTTGTGGTAAACGAGGAATAAACGAAATATATGTTAATTTCTAAAAATGCCCGAAATATCCAACAGATAATTCAAATTAACAACCACATCTTTGAGCAAGTCAAAGAATTTACATATCTTGGATCGCTAGTAAAAGCAACAAACACGATAAGCCACGAAATAAAAAGACTCATAGCAATAGTAAAGATAACTATTCACGGTCTCCAGAAACATTTAAAAAATAAAAATATAAAACGTGCAGTAAAGCTGAATATATACAAGACCTTAATAAAACCGGTTTTGATATATGGGGCTGAAACGTGAACCTTATCTCAAAGTGATGAAAGACTTCTTGGTATTTTTGAGAGAAAAATTCTTAGAAAGATTTTTGGAGCCGTAAATGAAAATGGTCTATGGCGTCGAAGATACAACTTTGAATTATATCAGTTATACACCGATCCAGATATTGTGAAATTCATTAAAATGCAGATACTTAGATGGGTTGGACACATTACTAGGATGTCATATCACGAATACACGAAGATATTAACATTGTCAAAACTAGAGGGCACAAGAAGAGAGGACGACCACGAACGAGATGGATTGATGATGTGAAAGAAGACCTAAGACATATTCTAAGGGGTAAAAACTAAGTGAAGCCTAGTGTAAAAATATTACAGATCCAAATAAACAAAAAGATTATTCCAAACTTCTTCTATCTACACAAAAATTTCTAATAGCTCCAGAACACTGAGCAAGGTTCTCACTGAACATAAGTCACTCATTATTGTCTTTATAAGATCAGCAAATTCGACTGTAAATTCTGCAAAAATTTACAAGAAATCGGTTTTTTAGGGCACCATCAGGTAATAAACGTATCTCCAAAACGATTATCAAACTTTATTAATTAAAAACCTTAAAACGATCAGATGAATAAATTATTTCGTTTATTTCTTATATCTACTTAGTTATAATAGTTTTAGTCAGATTTGATTAGCTTTTTTCCCGATTCATCTTTTATATACAAGTCATCTTGATCTACTTATCAAAGACCTTTAATTACCATATTTCCCCTTATTTTGCGTTAATTTCCCGGTTCCCTCGTTAATTCTGATATTTCGTGTTGGAAAAATCATTTTTAACTTCGGCGTGCGTAATACTACAAGATATCAGCAAAATAAATTAAAAATTACTTAATAATAATCGAAATTCTAATAATATAAACTTTTTTCATTTTAAACTCTAATCATCACGTGGATGAACAATAGGGATTCCCAATCATGAAATATGATGGACATATTTATGTATGCATGAAACTTTTAAACATCGCCATTGGCGTGAACTATATACAATAAATAAATAATTATTACTGCATTGTTAGCTGGTGGGAATCCCTGTCAAAGTAAACAACTTTCCAAAACCTAAACAATTTTCGTAATGTAAATAACCCGCATTAAAGAAAACATTTTTACACAGCGTGAGTTTTTAGTCTGACATGGATCGATAATTCCATTAAGGTACAGAATATCCAGTAGCAGTATCCGAATATCAAAAAAGTTATTTAGAAAAAATGTAGACCCAATTCTACAGAGGAATTAATAACTACGTAGTAAAGCAAATATATTTTTTTTTACATAGGACACCCTGTATATTTTCCCATATTCAGATTTCTCTAATAATCCCTGTTCTTACAATTTAAAACTTCACACAACTATACAGGGTATAGTTGTGTATAGTAAGAAATCTTTTTTACTAGAAATATCTTAAAAAAGTTGAGATAAGAGATATAAACAAGGAATATAGAGGCACATGGGTCTATATTCCTTGATATAAATGTAAGCCTGTGCTTGAGATGTAGAATACACTTAAAATATATGTTCAGGATATTCTTCAAGCTAAATTCTCATAAATTAAAGCCAAACAAGTTTATAGCACTAAAAATTACCTAACTATTTTCTTATTACCAAGTAAAAGATTAAGAAGCAGAGTGAAAGTGCAGGCCCGGAAATAAAGAAACACATAAAATATCTATGAACATATCAAAAAGCAGAGAAAAAGTGTAGAAAATAAGAAAAAAATTCACTAGGAATTATAAAAGAAAATATTCAAAATGAGTTGATTCCCAACTAAAAAACCATTTTAAAGTGAATACAGCCATATCATAGTATTTATTATCCATATATCAATTTATACTTAAAAATATACCTAGTAAATACCTGTTTGTAGATAATTATTACTTATACGATTTGATTTTTTTCATTCATCCAGTTTTTTGTAACTTTGTTTATTTTACTTCTAGATATGCAACCAGTAATAGCAAAAACTAACATGCTTGTTGCATATTTTAGTGTAAATACGCAAACAACAAACAAAATATTGCAAATAATATATTTTTATTAATTTCTTAAAAATTTAAACAATTTTTTACAAATATTTATATTACTTTTCTTTTAATTTTGAAAATACAAAAAAGTTAAGCATTGTATCCTGACTACATAATATGCCTATACATTTTACAAACGATTATATTTTTGATGTATTATGTGTAATTAATTAATACGATACAATTTTAAGGGATAAAAATATTGAAAATATAGGTCTATTGACATACTAAAATATAAATATAATGGAACATTCAAGAAAAAATAATTTTTTTGTGACATCTTTTCTCTTGCCTTGACATTTGCTCGTTAGACGTCACTTCTGTCATTTTCGATGAGAGGCGAAAATTCTGGAAAAGAAATTTCGATACCAGTTTATAAGCAAGTATTTAGTTCGTGAATAGTTAAATATATTCTTCATTTACCGGTAATATGGAACAGGTAATGTAGCTACTTCAATACTAAAACTGTTTCGTTGTAAAATATTAATACATTAATAGTATTTTTTCCAAAACATGAAAAATTAAAAGCACATTGTTACCGTAGGTCGCCGTTTTAAAAGATAAAGGGAATCAAGCACTTTCTGCAAATAAGATAGATGAGGCACTTAAATATTACACTGAAGCAATTAACCTCGATCCACAGAATGCCGTTTTATATTCCAATAGATCTGCTGCTTACGCTAAAGCAAATCAATATGATCTAGCCCTAAAAGATGCTGAAAAAGCTGTTGAAGTAAAGCCGGACTGGTCAAAGGCTTATTCTAGGAAAGGCGCTGCTTTGTCTTATTTAGGTAGACATGATGAAGCTATTGCTACATATGAAAAGGGATTGGAAATAGATCCAAGCAATGCTCAGCTTACAGAAGGACTAAATGAGGTAATGCTTAATTTTATTACATTTATTTTCCAGAGTATTCGTCATTGGGTATTTTATTCTTATTAAGTATAATACAATGTTGTGTAAATATTATATTTGAAACTACAAGAGAGCACAAGAATATATTGTAAGGTATTCACTTGATTTAAATATTTTTATGTGGGAAATCGGTTTTGTAATAGATTTTATTCTAAAATGTAGTTTTCCTTGTTATTAGAATTAAAGTTTACTTTATGAAGGTCAAGTTAGCTTTAATATCTACAAATTAATTTAAGTCCATATGTATTTTTGTAAATTTATATGTAAGAGCACATATTGTCTGTTCTGATGAAAACTGTACAATCTTAAAATTTACAAACTTTTCAGGAGAGCATTTTTAAGATTTGTCGCTAAATAAAATGTTCCCAAATAAACATTAGCAGGTTTTTGTTTAAGTTTGTATTAGTTAAATCTTTTCTATGTCGAAAAAACATGAAAATATTTTAACCATATAAGTAATAATAATAATAATTTTTTTTTTAAATAAGATGTTTTGAATTTTGCTACTTTTTCAGAGAAAATATTAATTTTCATTATTATACAGATGTTTAAAAAGTACTATTATGATAAAATAGGATTTGTCCAATAAAAATTAGGATTATAAGCAAATTTTTATTCTCAAAAATATAACAAATAGTAGCATGGCAAACGTAAGAATTTACAACTTACAAAAAAATTTAACCTTACACTGAAACTTAGTCTTAGAAATGAGTATACGGAAGGCAAAACCACTTCTTTCTGCACAATTCATCTCTTCTTTTTGCAGATGAACTAAAGTTCTACACAATTAACAAAAATACAGAAGATTGTGTTAATCTTCAACACGATCATGATCAGTTGAGCGAGTGGTGTGTGAATGCCATGGTCCTGAAAGCATCCAATTATCATACTGTTTCTTTTGTATGATCCAGAGACCCAATGGAATATAATTATAGTATACAGAACATTCTTGTTGACTGGAAATTTGTGATCTGGGAATTAATTTAGACTCTAACTAAACTTTTATTTGAATCATATTATATGTCAACAATTTCCAAGTCTTTTCAAATGCTTGGCTTTATAAAAAAATTCACTAGAGACTTTCAGAATATTGAAGCAATTAAATTACTACATTGTTCTTTAGTCAGACCCCATCTAGAGTATTGGTCTCCATCTTATAATATTTACATATCAAAAATTGAGACAGTTCAACACAAGTTCTTGAAATATGTAGCATATAAACAGGGTATACCTTTTGAATTAAATCAAGTAAATTATGATCAAATTGAAACCCAACTTGGTATTCTCTCATTGTATGACTGACAATTAATTAAAGATGCAAAGATGTTTTATGGCATAATTAATTCTACAGTCTTGTGTCCTCAGCTACTTGATCAGGTTGGTCTGCATGTACCTCTCTGTAGGACATGATTAAACCAAACTGTTTATATTCCTCTTCACAGGACCAACTATGCATATATAATTTTTTATCTCAAGCAATAAAATGGGCAAATATTCACCAAGATCTAGATTTTTTGCACCCAAGGCCGAATTCATTTCTGGTCTCATGCATGTGTTTATTTGAGTGACACTGAAGAAACAAGAAGAACTATTTTTCTCTTTTATTCTTTAATCTTTACTACTTCTACTTTTATCGTACATCCACCAAAAAACGATTCAACTTGTTTTAGGTGAGAGCTCAAAAAGCCAAGAAAAGCCGCTCTTTCCCAAATCCCTTCTCTGCTCCAGACGTAATACCAAAACTCAGAGCAGATCCGAAAACAAGAGCTTTCCTTGAAGATCCTGAATACTTAGCACTTTTAGCACAATTACAGGCCAATCCACAAGCAATGGGCACCAAACTGCAAGATCCTAGAGTATTGACCACCCTCAGTGTACTCTTAGGTGTAGATATTGGATCTGATGAACCTATGGATACTGAACCAGCGTATACGCCACCTCCTAAGAAACCTGAACCAAAACCAGAGCCTAAGAAGGAACCGGAACCCGAACTACCAGAAAATAAGAGGTATGTATAATTTTTTTGATAAAATACTTATACAGATCTGCAATATTTAAATATTCAATAAGCTATTTTTGTTTTTAACAGCTGTAGTATATGTTTTATAAGACATTTAAATTAGTCATTTGTTGATATCCTTGTTGTTACTTAGTTTCTGCTTCTTTTCTTCTTGTCTTCTACTTTGTTTGTTTCATCAAATTATAATTATAACAGAATCAAAATTTAATATATGCTTGATAGATGAATTCCATGTGTTTCAACTGTTCATCGTCATCATCATCCAGCCTTTATTTATCACATCCACTGCTGGACGTAAGCCTCCTTTAAACTCCTCCATTCTTTGCGATTTTGTGCCTTTGTTGCCAATTTTTGGTGGTATTCCTGATGTCATCAGCCCATAGTGTCTTCATATAGGTTGCCAAAAATGTTCATATCAGACATAATACATAAATAGTTGCTTAATCATTTTTAATTTACAGGTTAGCAAAAGGGAAAAAGAACAGGGTAACAACTTCTACAAAAAGAAAGATTTTGAAAATGCCATTATACATTACAATAAGGCTATTGAACATGATCCTACCGACATTACTTTTTACAACAATTTAGCTGCTGTTTATTTTGAACAAAAGGAGTATGAACAATGCATAAAAGAATGTGAAAGAGCTATAGATGTTGGTAGAGAAAACAGAGCTGATTTTAAACTTATTGCCAAGTCTTTCATGAGAATTGGCAATGCCTATAAAAAATTGAAAGACTACAAAACAGCGAAGACATATTATGAAAAGTCTATGTCTGAACACAGAACTCCTGAAATTAAGACATTGTTGTCAGATGTAGAGCGTATTATTAAGGATGAGGAAAGGAAATCATACATCAATCCGGAACTAGCTGAAAAGGAAAAAGAAATGGGTAAGTAAATATGTTATATTTAGTTTTGGTTTTATAATGTCATACTAAATATCAAAAAATATATTTTGTAATTTCGAGGGGTTATCATTAAGTTGCAGGGGTTTTTTAATTGTGTGTCAATACAAATTGTGTGTGAATTAAAACCCCGATCAATTTTTTTAAATTTTGGTTATACTATTTTGTGATACATTTTACTTTTATAGTACTAGTATTTAAGTTTTATTATTCAGTTCTTTGTGAGTTAAAATAAACATATATTCAGACAATAATTCAATTTTATTACAATATTGTAATACTAATGAATTAAAAGGGAATAAATTAATTAAGAGAAGTTTTTGTTTATTTACATTATATATACATATAATTTAGATTTATTTATATATCAAACAAGTTCAACTTCCACTATAATAAAAAGAAACACAGTAACAATGATCTATTATCACCAAATTTTTTTATTGATTGCCAACATTAAAAATATTGCTAATTTTCTTTATATTGAATACAGGGTCAAAGTCAAAACGCAAATACATTATTTTCTCAGTAATTTTAAATAGAACACACATCACTACACGACAGAGAAGGACTTTTCATCTTGCTGTCAAAAACGAAATTGTCGAATGTGTGAAATTTAGTGAATTGTTAACTTTTCTTAATTATTAAGTTTCTGTGCAATTTTCTTTCTGTGAGAACCTTCTACACAGATTAGAAAACTTTCAATTAAAAAACAATGAATGAAATACATAAAGTTTTGTGGACATTTTTAGTGCATATTGTAACGTTATTCTCGACCTTATGCTTGATCAACTCGCTAAATTCGGAGTGCCTAATAAATGTGCTTATGTCCTAGTCAATCTATTTACAAACAGACAAGTCCATATTCATTTAAATAATTCACTCATTGGCCCAAGGATAGTTAACAAAGGGTTATCTCAGGGCTCAGTTCGTAGTCCCTTATTATTTAAGTTGTATTCATTAAACTTACATAATATGGGAATGCAGTGTAACATTTTACAATATGCTGATGACTTCTGTTTCTATGTTGAGAAAAAAACTTTTCAACAATGTATTAATGCCCTTAAAGTAAATATGTCTTATTGCAAAAAGTATTTTTATACTCATGGGCTTGACATCTCACAAGTCAGTAGTATTTTTTTTTCGAGACACAGTTTATCAAAAGTTGGTACATTAAAATTCTCCCAGCTGGAAATTCCTGTATGTATCAGTTTTACATTCCTAGGTGTTACCTTGGATTCAAAATTAACCTGGAACAAGCATATTAATAATTGCATTACCAAATGTGAAAAAAGTCTTAATATCCTTAATCGATATGATTGGGGAATGGACTCGAAAATAAACTTATTATTTTACAGAGCATATACCAGATCAATTTTGGACTATGGAAGCTTTTTCTATGGATCAGCGACAAAATCTCAAATCTACTCCCTCACCATCCCTTTGGCAGAATGTAACGAATCACCTTTACATTTAAGACATCTATTTTTGGCAGAAAAATTTATTCTTAAATTCCAGTTTAATAATCAAAACAACTTATTACAAAAAATATCTTGTCTCTCTGTTGAAAATCTAACAAACAAATGATGGGCAAATAAAAACTCTTCAACTCTAGCTGTTGCTTTTCCCAATTTATCATAATATCCATTCAATGGAGAAGGGATTCCATTCTTTGGCTCCAATTATGACATACTATATGAATATATCTGCTGTAGTAATTCCTTCATCTATTTTAATGTTCATAAAGATTTAGTAGTACAGAACAAGCTGGAAGACTGTAACCATTCTTGTAAAATTTATACTGATGGCTCAAAATCGCCTGCTGGGGTTGACTTTGCCATTTACATAGACAACATTCAAGATTATTTTCAGTACAAATTAAAATCAGATTTCTCAATATTCACAGCTGCTACACAGAAAAGCTACTGCTACTGTAGTATATATCCAACTCTTCCATCTGCTCCCCCAACTGATAGAAACTCCATCTCTTGGAAAATTTATACTATTGTATTATTTTTATTAATCTAATTTATTGTCTTTATTCATTATCAAAGGCTCTACATTTATAACACTTACAAATTTATTAACGTCTTTATTATAATATTCATTAATTTATCTTTACAATATTTATTTATATTTATTTCCGCGTACAATTATATTTCGATCTAAAAACTCGACTTCCTATTCAAAAACTAACTGTCTTTAAATAAAAGGTTCCTCTATTTATACTAAATACATAATCGAGAATTCCGGCGATTTCATTTGAATAGACCAGAAGGTCAACCGGACTGGTTTCTATTCGACCTTCTTCTGGAAACTTTGAATCGTAGGAGACTGTCAGTTTTTACCTGAAGTTTCTGCCGGCTGGTTCTCCTGGGAGGGTCGGACAATCTAGAACATATCAGAATTAAAAAGAATGTTTATGAGACATATTTATCGTAACACTATGTATGTTAGATGCCTTTTTAGACATGCTACAGTAAATGCGTACCTATATAAAATAAAACTTTCCGAAACTGATATATGTAAATGTAATGGCAGTTATGACGACCTTCACCACTGGATGTTTCAATGTCGGTATAATCAAGAAGCAATACAATTTTTATTTCAGGCCATCTCCCAACAAAAAATTATACTGCCGCAGAACGTTGCTTCTATTCTCTATTTAGGTAGTCGAAATCCAACTATTAGATCTATTTTATGGGAATTTTTCAAACGTACCAAACGGAAAATCTAAACTGCCTTTTTCAGTGTTGTGTGAATCCGAAATGGTAGGACGTTAGTTGTTGTATTTCCCAATGTCTTTCCTTTTATGTCATTTACTGTTAACTGTTGCCTGTATTGTTTGTGTAAAAAAAGTCGCTATGAAGGGCACCTTAGCGTGAAGCGTGTGTTCCTGTTCATTCCTTTTTGTTCAATCCCCCCAATAGTGTTTTCAATGGGAAGGTTAGGACATTTGAATGAATGAACAGTTAGGAAATTGTCATGAATTTAAAGGAAGTGTACGTTGTATGTTACATATTCAACCAATTGTCTGGCTAAATAGGTCTTGAACCTAAGGCCAAAAAAAAATAGATAAAGTTGTTCTCAATTATGGTGGGAAATAAAGATTCATTTTTGTATAATAGATTATCAAGGAGAATAAAGTAAAAAACTACTCAGACTTCTTTATATTCTTACAATTCTTATGACAAATCGTAATATTGCTCTGTTTTTGTAGGTAATGATATGTTCAAGAAGGGCGACTACGCTACTGCAGTGAAGCATTACACTGAAGCTATTAAGCGTAATCCGGACGACGCAAAACTATACAGTAACCGTGCTGCATGTTATACGAAATTAGCTGCCTTCGATTTAGGCTTGAAAGACTGTGATAAGTGTGTAGAACTAGACCCGAAGTTTATCAAAGGTTGGATAAGAAAAGGTCATATTCTCCAGGGTATGCAGCAACAGAGCAAAGCCATTTCTGCCTTCCAGAAAGCTCTCGACTTAGATCCGAATAATCAAGAAGCGTTACAGGTAAAGTATTAACTAGATAAATGACGAGAAATTTTTTTTTTAATATCTCGTAGGTAAAGTACCTCAACCATTGTTTGTATGAACACCACAATTTTACAATTTAAAAGAAATATTTGTTTATAAAAAAGTTTTAAAAATTCAATCGCAGTCATTGAAAAGTGTTGCAAGACAACAAAATTTTTTGGCTAATGAAATATTTGAAGCAGGTTTACACAAAACGATATAAAATCGTTGATTTTGAGTGGAGACCATTATTTGTCAAAATTGATTAGTCCAGTGTATCTCATCGTCCACCATTTATCCCTGATTTAGCACCAAATGACTTTTTTTATTTTCTTTCATAAAAAAAATGAGAAATGCCCTTGCCCTCTATCTAACTTCCGCTTCTTGATCTTCCGCCAAATTCACTCCTATTATATGTCCCTCTTTGCTCTTTAAGTATTTCTTTATCCGTTAATTTGTCCCACGACATTTTCCCAACTTTCACTCTTCTTCGATATAAAAACCGTTCGCGCAGTAGCGTAAAGAGGTTCTTCGCCTTAACCGTTCAGAGCAAAAATTCTTATCCACCTTATCAGTGTATACAAACATTTTTTATCGTTAACCAGTATTCTAGTAATTTATTGCTTCTTTTTAACATCTAATTAATACATTAAAAACACAAGAAACACTAATTACAGTTCATAAAGCACAAGAAATTGTACTTATGAACTTCGTGTATTGATATTTGAAATAGTTCAGTTTATGGGATTTTTACTACTCTAGATTGCTCGCTAAAGTACTTTTTCGGTCAAAACCAGGCCTTTAACTGGCCAATACAGTATATCAATTATAAAAATCATGAATCACAATATTCGGATTACCGAAATTCTTTATTTTAATTTTTTTTTAATTGTAAATATGAAATTAACAACATTGTTTATGATGTATGGAATTATTTTTACAGTTTAATTATATATTTTATGTTGATTACTATTTAATTAATTGTTTGATAGCCAAAAAATGCTGACAACTAAATATTGGAACACAAGGATTTTAACAAATTAAAATAAAAATTAATAAGGCGTAACTTCGCCGTTAGCTTGAATAACAGGCTGAACTCTATTAGGGATTGTATCAACTGGGCCTTCACAGAATTCAGTGGCGAAACAATCCCATATTTCTTGAAATTTAGCACGTAGTTTTGGCAAAGTTCACTGAGGGTTATTTCTTAAGAGTTCTTGTATTGTGTGCCCAAGTGTCTCTATTGGATTAAGATCCGGGCTGCTGGAAGGATGTGACAAAACTTTAATTTCATGTTAGTCCAACCATATTTTGGTAGATTTGGCCGTATGGCATGAGGCTCCGTCCTGCTGAAAGATAAAATCTCCGGATGGGTGTAACTTTGCCACACTTGGTTGAAACGAATATTCAAGGATGTCTTGATATTTGGCTGCGTTTACGCCTCAATAAAATCTAAAGTTCCCAACCCTTTGGCCGACATCCAACCCCACACCATTATGCCCTGTGGAAACTTTAGTTCTTTTGAGAAAATTCTTATGAAATGCTTCTCGAATCACACATTTTCCCGAATGACACTTTGCTTTCATCGCTATAGATAACTTTGTTCCAATTATGTTTGGTCCACGAAAGTTTTGATTTATCCCAAATGTAATGATTCCTTTTTTGAGTTTCCGTCAGCAATAGTTTTTCTTTGGCCTACTTGAATAAATAAAACAATAGAACATTTTTATCGGAAAGAAGAACCTATCAATCATACCTTATAAAAACTAAGGCTTTTGTGGATATATTTGTGACAGGATTCTCTGAAAACATTCATCCCAGTTTCTCTATTCTTTCTAGCAGTTACTTCTGTTAGTGTATTTTTCTTCCCGACTTACGTATTCTAATTAAATGCTTTACACTTGAGAAACAGCTTTTGACGGCCTGAGCTTTTCGCCGCAAACGTTAATACTATCAGTTTCACCATATTTCTTAATTATATTAAACACAGTAGTTGTTGCTACAATCAATTTATTGGAAATTTCAAGCATTGTCTTTCCTTCATGGTACGGATGAATAATAATTTATCGAACTTTTAGATCAGTGGGGTTTCCACGTTCCATTATTATATTTTACTCGCAAAAATAATTCCATACATCATAAAAAATTGTGTTAATTTCATATTTACAATTAAAAAAAAAATTAAATAAAAGAATTTCCGTAAATTGGCATTATATTCCCAAAATAACTGCTTGTTCCAACATATAGTTGTTATTGCTCGTATTATATAATAAGGATACTATCGACTTTCCTATTTTTTGCTGAACTGTTTTCTTGTTTATAGGGATACAGGGCATGTACTATTGAAAACGCCAATTTAGATGGAGATCCGGAAAAGATCAGACAGCGGGCTATGGCTGATCCGGAAGTCCAGTCCATTCTTAGAGATCCTGCCATGAGAATGATCTTGGAACAGATGCAGAACGATCCCAAAGCTCTGCAAGATCATCTAAAGAATCCAGATATTGCTGCTAAAATACAAAAACTTTTAGAATCTGGACTTATCGCAATTCGCTAATTGGTTAAGCTTTTTCTTTTTTACGAACTAGAATGTTTTACTTGTGAATTTGACTTCGAATGACTGTTTCCATAGTTTTCTTTTGTATTTTAGGTTATAACGCCAATAAAGTCGATAACTGAAACCTAGTGCGATGTTTTATTTAAAATATTTTGTCTTCATTACTTCCTATTAAGTCCGTTGCACGTCAAGTGACATTTCAACGTCGTAATAGAATAAACAGCTTCTTGAAAATACTTCAAGGCTATTTTTAAAATTATTTTTGGTTTATATAAAGAATGTTGGACCGAGAAGCGAGCTGTAAAAGTAGTCCAGAGATGGAAGCCCCAAGGAAGCAGAACAAGAGGAAGGTCCCGTAAAAGATGGATAGACGACGTAGAGAGGGATCTTTTAAAACCATGAACATCAGGCATTTGCGAAGGAAAGTATCCGACAAGGCAGAATGGAAGAACATTGTTAAACAGGCCAAGACTCACAAAGGGTTGTAGCGCCATTAGAAGAAGAAGAAGCTAGGCCGTGAAGAGAAGAAAATACATCGAAAAAGGTAAAATAGAACAAAAACACCGAGAGATGGAGACCTAATTGAAACAACATAAACCAGAAACTCCTATCACAAACTTCGAAAATAATTTAAACTAAAAAAGTGATGTGCATAGAGAAGGAGACATAGTAACACAAACTGAAATACTAAAATGATGGACAGATTTCTTCAAAGAAAAATTTGAAGAAAACGGGGATGCACTATCTGATGGAATTCATCCATATGATGGAAAAATACATAATGAATACATTTATAGTTAGTATTACAAATTAGCGACAGCTACTAACATTATCTTTCCACTTGCTAGACAGAGATCAAGATCATATTTCCCTTTCTGCACACATTCTGAATCAAAGCCCACAATAAAGCGTTATACCGAGCGATAAACCCATCGTTTCCTAATTAAGTGTTGCCAACCTCAGGAAACCAGAAATGGAATGTTAAAAAACAGCAGAAAAGAGTAAAATAGTAATTTCAAAATGTCTGCCAGACATAACGTTCATAGAATTGATAAATAGTTATATAACTACTGTTAGATTTACCGAAAATTGCCTTTATTTAAGGAATTTCTTTCAAAATCAAGATTTAATCTAAATAATTCATTTTATTACAATGGAAAACTACTCGTTAACGTTTTCGTGGTCTTTTTTTTTTCATTACATTTCTGACTGAAAAGCCTTTCAACGGCAGCTTTAGCTATAAATAAAGCGCTTGATTGGCGTGAAAAAATCCAATTAAGAGAGCTGAAATTCTATCTGATTCCAAATTGGTTTGGCAAGCACTCATGAATGCGCCAATTCATGCACCAGATTATGGTGCAACCTCCCTTACATATTCATTCTTTATTTCTGCCCACGATTTTCTGTGCCATGTTAAACTGGCTTGTTTCCTTATGTCATAGTCCCATTTTAAATTTTGACGGTTCTTGGATAACACAGTATAATTCTAGTGGACCATCTATTGTCAGTTCTCGCTAAATGTCCCGCCCACTGCCATTTCAAAGATTTAATTCTATGGATTACATCAGTAACCTTGGTGTTCTATCTGATCCATTCTATTCTTTTTCGAACTCTCTTTGTTATATCTAGCATGCATCGCTCCATTGACCTTTGAGTTTCGATATTATCTCTTTCTTGAACGCCCAAGTTTCGCAACCGTATGTCCTGATTGGTAAAATAGTATACACTGATCGAATGCTTTTTTATTCAGGTGCATTAACGAAAAATCCTTAGACACATATAAGGGGGTAAAGGAAAATGACATATGGCGCAGAAGATATAACTTTGAACTATACACAGCATACAATGAATCCGAGATCGCAACATCCATAAAGATCGGACGTCTGCGCTGGATGGGCCATGTTGAACGGATACGCCAAAACATATAATGAGGCAAACACCAGTAGGGAGAAGGCCAAAGCGAAGACCCAAACTTAGATACATGGAACAAGATCTGAAAACACTTGATTACCAACTTGAAAAACAAAGCAAAGAACAGAACAGAATGGCGGAAAATCCTAGAACAAGCCAGGACCCAGTAAGGGTTGTCGAGGTACTGATGATGATTGCCATCTTCGATTTGAATATATGGATCCCTTCCGTCGGTTAATTTCCAAGGTTTGTTCTTATTGTGGCTGATTGGTTCCAGTATAAATTATGTATTATATGCTGGTCTTTATCATCTATTTGGGCCTTTGTTAGAACATCCATCATTTTTCGGTGTTGAACTGTGTCAAATGCTTTTTGGTAGTCCACAAAACAGGTGTAGATATCGCAAGTCATATCTCTGCAACTTTGGAATAATACCTGTAGACTAAACAGTGTATCTTTCGTACCTACGCCTTTCCAGAATCCAAACTGTGTGTCTTGTATTGTCTCTTTGCATAGCTTGTATATTCTGCGATGTATAATTTTAAGAAAAAGTTTTCGTGTATGGCTCGTTAGACTTATTAGCCTATATTCTTCGCACTTTTTCGCTCCCTGTTTCTTTGATAACGTAAATTGCCTGTGTCATAGATATTATTGAAGGTTTTACATAGTATTCTTAAAGATTCATCATCAAGAAGTTTAAGAAATTCAGACATCTGGTCCTGGAGCTCTCCCTTCTTTTAGTGATATTGTGGCTGCTTTCATTTCTGCCACTAGTATAGGTGGTTCTGTTTCCATAGGTATTGTGGACTGGTTCTCCTTGTCACAAAAAAAATCCGTATGTAATTTTTTCAGGTATTATCAATACTCTCTTTGTCCACGATTACCTCTTCGTTGTCATTAACAAGTTTACTTACTCTTCTGTTTTTACATTTGCCTGTAATCTCTCTTATCTTTTTATGCACGTTGAAATCGTCGTATTTACGTTGTAGAATTTCGATTTCTTGGCATTTCTTCTCCAGTTCTTTCTGTTTGGCTTCTCTGATCTTTCTCTGTATATCCCGTTGTAATGTTTTATACATAGAGTTATTGTCCTTGTTTTTCCTTCTTTGTTCCATCAGCTGCATATTCTCTGTCGTCATCCATGTTTTATTATTACCTTAGTCATACTATTGTCTTTAATGTCGTCTATCGTTTTATTAAGAGATTCTATCTTCTCTTCTGTGCTTTCCGTTGTATTATCGATTTATTTGAATTTTCTATTTATTGTTTTGCTGACTATTTCTTTTAATTCACTACATTTGAGTTTTCTCATGTCATTTTTTTTAGGGTTTTTCCGCGTTTTCTTTAACTTGGTTCTTTACACGCCTACTAAAGGATAGTGGTCAGATTGAATATCAGCGCCTGGGTAGGTTGTAACACTATTGAAACTATTTCAATATCTTTTGTTAACAAGTATATAGTCTATTTGGTTTCTTAGAGTGGGAATGTAGAATGGAAGTCTCCGCTAATAATAAAGCGGCTGCTTAATTTATTAAAGAAAGTAATATATTTTTTGATAAATATTGTATCTGAGTGGACAGTAAATCCCACTTACCTTGGGCTTTTGTTTTGCTGTTTCAGTCATTACAATTATTGTACTCAAATATCCAAGGTCACATAATTTTCTCTTCGTAATGTTTGATATTTTTAATTATGTAAATTTTTAAAAGTAATAGTCATAAAGTCACTATACCTTGACTTGAACTATAATAAATTGTTCAAACATGCTCCACTGTGTTTATTTTTTCCTAAGGGTCGATTCATCGACCTCATTAACTTCCCTGACAGGTACATAAATAAAAAACAGAAAGATTTTTTTATTTCGTTTATTAATTATACCTTTAAATGATATAAAACATCTAATAAAACAAAAAATAAAATACAAAGAAAGAAAAATTAAAGTATTAATATTGCAACTTATGTCATATAAGCTAGACAATGGCAACATTCACAAAATCACTAATCCAACCATAATTTTTGGACATGCACAGGATGCGACAGGACATAATATACGAAAAATGCGTCAGATATCAATTAAATTTATATAAAAGTATACCAAAAAAGTTTATATTGACAAAAATAAATTTTAACATAAAATTTATATTTAGTGACGAGAAAATTGGCTTTTGATAAACAGGGAAGTCTAATATGTAGTATCCGACCTCACCAATAGATGGCATTGTTTTATTAAGATTAGTAAGATCGAAAGTTCCTTTTGAAGTTCTTTTTGACTTAACAATATAGAAATATTGGTAAATAATTTGTTATCATGAAGAAATGGAATCATCGGTTAACGGTAATTTGGAAAATGTTCACATTTTTACCGCCAATAGAGTGTTTTTGGTTATAGATAAAGATGCTTAGCAAAGACCATAGTTCTAAAAAATGAAAATAAAGATGAAATAGTGAATATCGATGTGTCATGCGTATATAGTTAAAACGAGGTCGCAATGAAAAATAAATCTGCCTTTAATAAAATCTTTGGGGTTCTCTATTGTTATATCGTTACTTCTAAGACTTTTTAAATAGTAAATTCGTACTAAAAAGTGTTACATCAATCAAAAATATAAACACTTCGATTAATGTGATATTTGACAATACTTTTCGTATATTTTCCTAATATAAATTTACATCATCCACTATAGACTACATCTTATCAATAAAAACGAACTATCATACTCCTAAATATAATAAAAATCCATTTATATAGTAATTCAAACTTAAAATAAAAACAAATTATAATAATACATATTCACAAGAATATATTCTCGAATAGTAGACTATTAAGTAATTAAATATCAACATCTTTTTCTTTTTACTAAATCGAAACTCCAGTTAAGTATACATAAAATTTCGTACTTACAAATATTTTTGTCATTTTAAAACGAATGCTACGGGACAATAGGTTTACTAGCCTTCGGTTGAAAGTTTATTTGAACTTCAACTGCGGCAATATCAAAAAGTGCAAGATAGTTAAGTGCAATGTTAAGTAATCAACAAAAAAAACATTCATTATTTCCGAAAATCCATGATTGTTACGTGATTCCTGCTACTTTGACGAGTTAGGATGCGTGAATTTGCTGCTGTGTGGTGAAACTAAGATCTTGACCCTGACTGCAGGACAGTGGTGGAAGGGGCTTGTTAACGTGCTTGTGTTGTGACTGGCAGACGAATCAG